TAAGAAGCGCGGACATTAGCCTAGAAGTTATTAAACAGCAAATTTTGGTCGCCGTGGCCCAAATCGGCTTGGGACCATGATGATGATGATAATGATGATTTCAACATTATCGGTGTATACTGAGTGAACACTATAAAGTACGAATGCAAGATTCGTTATTGATTTAAAAACTTCCGACATGGAAATTTTTATCTAAAAAATAAACCCCGTAGTCGCCCAAAACCTAAAGTCAACAACGATGAATTAAAGGCGATACTGGAAGCTGACGAAATTCAATCTACCACTGAGTTAGCAGTAGCTTCCAATGTTAGTATCAAAATCATATTGGTCCATTTTCGTCAAATTATCACGATAAAAAACTTGGTAAGTGGGTGCCGCACGAATTGAAAGATCGCCATCGCAACGATCGCGTTAAAGTATGCCTTGCGTTGCATAACAGACACAGAAACTAAGGGAAAGCAAGCTTGGAAGCACATTTTCAATTGTGATGCAAAATGTATTGTATTTGATAACACGCTGACTGCCATGTAGTTCAACGGTGACCTGTGTCGCACTGAAGTAATTATGTCGATTTCTGTCTTCGATCTTCTGACTAAGGCGCCGGAATATCTAGTAGATTCTAGGAAAAACGAATCCGAAGATACTAAGAATGAATCTATATTCGATATTTAATAGCCAAAAGACAATCAAAATGCCTTAAAAGAGTTTATCGACTGACGTACACCTGAATTCTTCAAGAAGTTCATTGAAAAATTAACACTGCGCTAGCAGAGATTTATCTGCATTGAGAGAAATCAAAAAATATTTATAAAAGTGAAATGACTTTATGTGACCAAGCGGCTATTTCGGTGGTCAATAATATTATAATGTATTGGTTAAAGCAAATTTCAAAAGACGAATAAAGTTAAAAAGGCAAGTAAGCTTCTCGCGGCTTGAGACGGAGCGTTGAATTTTATATGAAGGCTTTTACGCAAATTGAAGGGCCGGCGATTTAGGTACTTGTGGGATGAGCCTTTAGTGGATCTGACTTAGGCATGCATACCAATGATTATATCCAACATCAAATATGAGTATGGAGCACTCTATTGCGTAAGGCCATTTTTTTATTGCTTAGATGGGTGGACCAGCTCACAGTCCACCTGGTGTTAAGTAGTTACTGGAGCCCATTGACATCTACAACGTAAATGATCTACCCACCTTAAGATTTAAATTCTAAGGTCTCAGTATACAACGGCTGCCCCACCCTTCATGGCAGAAACAGGCGAGGTGGTGGTACCTGCCCGCGCGGACTCACAAGAGATCCTACCAACAGTACTACATGCGGCTTTATAGACTTATCCAACAAACGTAACCTCTTTTTAAATTATAAGTGATCGTGGTGGAAATCACCCATGCTAACTGGTTCTACAATCCGTAGAGGCATGAGGTATTTTTTTATATGTTTTTCTTGAAACTAACACAGCACTCTCACCATTTTACTGTAGGCCATGACCGTGGACGGTGACCATCTTCCAGCATCTGTGTACACGCTGACTAATGCAACAGTAAAACAAATGAAAGTTTACTCGACAATTTTAAATAAACGCCGGCGACAAATAGCGTAATGAAAATTTTCTCGATTTTGAAATTTAATATAATATAAATAGAACTTATAGTATGTTTCTAACACACTTTTACTAGCTTGACTCATCCAGCTATCTGTGTGTAATGAATTTTTCATCGTATTTGACCAAAAAATTTCACGAATCAAGAGTACCGATGGCAAAACAATAATTCTACCAATTTGATCAGCTTAAAAGAAAAAAGATGCTGTTTAGGCGTAGCTATATATTTTTTGTTTTAAACTACGTATGTACAGGACCTATATTAATTGTTTTGACAGTGATATTTGGAAAAAGAAAAACTTCCGATTTATTTTGATAATACTAAAGCTTCTCAATCTATGTGGAGAGTATTAAACGGTAGGCAGTGGCTTGGCTCTGCCCCTGGCATTGCTGACGTCAATGAGCAACGGTAACCACTTATGGCCGTATGCTGGTCTGCATATACGGCAACAAAAAAATCTATTGCTGTTTGTTTTGCTTATTTATAAATAGACTAGCTGACCCGGCCAACTTCGAAGTGCCTCAATCGATAAATAAAAAACCTAAGCTTTTGTATAATATAAACTTAAAACAAACAAAAGGAATCCGTCCGACATCAAAGAAAAAGCAAAATTGTTATTTTTATTTAATTCCGATCATTTTCATATTTATCTACCTTTTAAACCTTCTCTGGACTTCCACAAATAATTCAAGACTAAAATTAGCCAAATCGGTTCAGCCTTTCTCGAGTTTTAGCGAGACTAACGAACAGCAATTCATTTTTATATATAGAGATAGAAGATAGATAAATGCGAGATTATGTTGTAGAAGAACTAAATACGTCTAAAACACGCAAATGCCTTTTGAGACATCTCGAAGTAAGGCAGGCCCGGTCTTCAAACCGGAACGCCTGACATGTCGCGGCAGATATAGCTTTTTTCTTGGCCAGGCTTCGAATGTCCTGCTAGGTTATCGATATGTGGAACTGGTCGATGGTGGTAAACGAATGAAGTGTTTACCTGCCATAGATGCGGGCTTATAATATTTTCTAATAATAATTCTTATATATTAATACGTGAAGGAAAAACTTTGTACCCTTTTTTACGAAAATTGCGCGGACGGAGGAGTATGAAATTTCCCACACTTATAGAGAATATAGAGAAGGAGTGCAGAATGTTAATTTTTTTTTAATTATGCCTTAAATATACGTTAAATCAATAAAAAAAACATTACACACACTACCTTGTAATAATTAATTCTTCTATATAATTCTTATACCAATAATAATTCTTAATATCCTTTATCGTCAGTCATGTTCAAGTATTAAATACGTCATGTCCTTAGAAAAATTGATTTAGGGCTTGCTAGGATTCAACATCGGAATAGTCGCATCGCCTGCTATGAGTAAATCGGGATTCTTATGCTTTAGGCCACGATCCTGTGAAATGCTTTTTCTGTTATGTGTTTAGTTTCCCTACCAACTCGTTGGTAGTCTAAAGGACTATTCTACTTCGCGTGGACCGGAGTTGGTGTGTGTGTGTGTGTTTGTTTTTTCCCTACCTATTCGTTGGTAGTCTATGAGGCTATTACAGCGACGCCCTGATGTGTAGGTGAGCTCAGAGGCTCAACCTGAGAGAATTTGCTAACACTAGACCTAGCAAGAGCAGTGCTTCGCTGAATCTACCACCGGATCTGAATCGCGTCCCACTGAGAAGATCCGGCGAGAAACTGTGAGTGGGCTGTGGTGTGCTCTATGTATTGGTTGAATGGAAAATTTAACATGAGCTAATCTTATTTTAATTTCTTCGTAACTATGCTGCTATCTCAAGCTGCAGCGAAGAATAAACGAGTAATAATTATTACGTAATTTTAAACTGTTATTAATATACTAATTAGTGATTGTATCATTTGGAATAAACAATAAAACATACTTTGTCATGTATGTTCAAATAAGTACGCGCTTAAAGAGGTTGGTCTCAACAAGTACTGTGGTTATCTTTAGTAAATACTCTTTTGTTTATGTTGATGTTTCAAATAAAATAGAAACGGAATTTTACTATTAATTAATATTTGACTGAGCTGAACAGGTGCATTATTGATAAAGTTTTGAGATTAAAGCGTTGAAAAATTAGGAGAGGCATTAAGAGGGAAAGGGATAGTGCGTCTATCTGTCCTTTTCCCACAAAACAAGAGTTCGCGTGTGAGCCAGAGGTCACTGCTGTCTATTCACTAATCACTCTGTTTTAATGATTTTAAAACAATGTCTACTCTACATTTTTAGTAGATTTTAGTTTGATGTCCATCTTAGAATATAATTTTTAAAAATCAGTCAACACGTGGCTTGATTCTATAAGTTAAAATATTTTATTTTTATATGAAAAGCAGCCTTAACATTACTTTAAGACATTCAACCGACAATTACGCGCCTTTTCCGTAATAGTACTTTAAAATGAAAGAACAAAGCACGATTCGTATCGCGTTGATTACACGAATACATATTTCGGCAGCACGAAGCCCGGTCCATAAACATTAAACAAGGACATTTTATGGCTTCTGCTTCCATAATGACTGCTAAGCCACAACGATTTTGTGTGTTATTAATTTTAATCGACCATTACGTGCGAAACTAAATTCGTCGGGACATTACTGCTTCGCAATATAAAGAAGGTCCTGCTTTACTTGCAAATATTATGGCAACACTAACGAAAGCAATTCATTGAAGATCATTTTTCTATACTCTTCGTATATACTGTGTTACTTATAATATTTTGTATGTTGTATTTGTTATTTTAGCTGTTCTACACACACTCATCACTTTTAATTATTATTCTCATAATCCTCTCGCAGGTTTGCTGGAAGAGATTTCTTAAAGAAATAAGCAGTGCCTTTGTACATAATTTTCCTGTTACTCTGTACTATGTCTTCTTTTTTGTGTGTACATAAATAAATAAATAACAATAATAAGAAAGCTTCGTAATTAATTAGTGATTAATTAATCTGGTTATGAATTCGTTGACCAATCAGCTTTATTTACGAAATGAATGAATGAATGAATGAATGAAAATTATTTATTGCACAAATATTGTACAAAGGCGAACTTAAGGCCATGCAGACATTCTCTTCCAGTTAACCCTCGTTGATGAAGAGCAAGACTCAGAAAGTGCGTAGCTGTGGTAAAGTTAATACATGGCGATAATTTAAAGAGTTACAGTAGACATGAGTAAAATGAATACCTACTAGGTTATAAATTACATTGCCAAAACAAATACATACATACAGATATATACAAAGATACATAGATAAGAAATACATATAAAATAAATTATATAAACCACAACATACTACAAAACAATCAAGCTATCTGTGTTTTGAAAAAGAGATCATGTACGAAATGATAGTCACGGCTGCAAATATTACCTGCCAGCCCTGTAAAAGCAGAGAGCGATCGACGGTTCGCAGCCACATGACCGCGTCGCCGGCTTGGAAGTCACGCAAGCGATGGCACCGCGCATGCAAGAACGTGCCGAGGCATTTGAGCAGCTCTGAGGTCGAGGCCTGGATTATGGTCTTCCGCGGTGCGACCACAGGCCCCACCGTCGTAGCTGGCAGCTTCTCCGCGTAGCACACATTGTTGTTGAGTGCGTTAGCTCGCACCACCTCAGCTGGAGGCGGCGGTAGGGGCGCAGGCACCGGCCGCGGGTATCCCCCCTGCACGCTAACATTCTTGTTGCGATCGAGCGGCGCATTGTCCGTCAGCGGCGCGCGGAATGTCGTCACGCTCTTGCTCTTCGATTCTAGCTTCTTCTTGTTATTGTTCGCTGTCGAGAACCTCTTCCAAGATAAAGCGTTTATGAACAGAGAATGCTTCTTGAGATTCTTTTCGAGGGCCGTCTTCTCGGATATGATTTTGGCAGCATCGTCGAGAGTGGCGCGTCGCTCGTCCCGCGGCAGCTCGCGGTTCTCCCTGTTCTTGGCGTTGTTCAGACGCTCGTAGGAGTAGGCGAGGGCGGCGCGATCGGGTTGGGGCGCGGCGGCGGGCGGTCGCCGCTCGCGCGGACTGAAGCTCAGCACGGTGCCCATGAGGCCCGCGCGCGTGCAGCCGCTAAGTCCCCGCATGCATCACGTTCGCGACCGGCGGCGGCGAGGGCCTGTGTGGGCTCGATAGGGCGACGCCGACGCGGTGCGGTCCGACCGTCGGGACGCTATCGACCGCTGCGCGCGCACCCAGCTGACGCGACCCGAGCCCCGCCCGCTCCGGTAAACAAACCTGACTCTTACTACCTCCTCCGCATTAAGCCACTGTATTACTAATCTAATATTAATTCCAATCAAAACTCTCCACCTCGAGACGTCGGTCAATCTATCGACATAACAAGATTATTGGATAAATTATGAGTGAACGTAATGAGTGCCAGCATCATGATTAGATCAGATAAAGAACCACATTGATAACCACTGAAAACTTTATAACTGCCAAAAAACATGTCTTTTAGCTTTTACCTGGTATTTTCGTCTTATTTCTTTTAATCGTCTTATTCTTTTTTCTGCCGTGAAGCAGTAATGCGTTTCGGTTTGAAGGGTGGAGCAGCCGTTGTAACTATACTGAGATCTTAGAACTTATATCTCAAGGTGGGTGACGCATTTACGTTGTAGATGTCCATGGGCTCCAGTAACCACTTAACACCAGGTGGGCTGTGAGCTCGTCCACCCATGTAAGCAATAAAAAAAAAAAAAAACTTGTACATATAAAGAGAGCACAATAAATTACAATCGTATAGTTAAAATTACTCTCATTCAAGGAATAGTCGTGGAAAAACTCGAATTATGTACGATAAGCACGCACATAATACGAAACGTTTCTCCGCAGTATTGATTATACGTGAATCATTAACGACTAGACGGAGAAAATAAATGGTAAATATGGTTCGGTCACAAAGTGAAATTGAGACCATAGTCTTGGTCTTTGGGCTAAAAGTCGTTCAACGCATTATGGCTGGCTAAATGTCGTATAGTATTTTAATTATGCTCGGAATATCTGAATTATTCGATACTATGAAATTACCAATGAACCCCTAATATAGCCTCAAAAGGTAATCAAACTATGTGAAACAAGCAGTCTGCAACATTCGCAATAATCCTATTAGCTGATCCGGCTAACTCTGCAATAACTTGTAGACTACGATGTGGGGGCCAATGTCCAGCAATACAGAATTAGGGCTCATACAATCAACTCACAGGCCACAATCTTTATCTTCAATCGGTTCTGTCGACAAAGACCACGTTTGTAAACATAATGTTGCAGTGGTTACGCAATAATGCGGTAACCAACCAATAAAGCCTTCCTCGTGAATGGAAGCTGTCTGAATAAACGTGAACTGTTTAGATTTTCCGTACGCACAATACGTAGTTAGGCCATTCTCGAGCCTATTCTACGGTCGAGGTTACGTTGGAAAACTTCTAGCGTAACAACGCTATCAATTGGCTTTGAGGAGCCGATCAATCCGCTCTCGGCTCCCACGTGAATTACAGAAGAAAAAGAAAACTCTTCTTCCAAAACACTAGAGATTAACTAAAGGAAATACATTCCGCGGCCTATGGCGGCCTCTTTGAGTCTAATTGATAAAAACAGGAGATACGACTATGTACATTTGGATAATCAAGTCGGTGGTATTCAATAGGTAGATATTTGTTTCGAATATAATGTCTCATAATGTGTCATTAAGAATGCTCTTCTTATTAAAACCTAGTGACAAAAGTGCTTTTTATTCGTCGACATTTGAATACTATCCTAAAGTTTTTTTTCGAAGAGATAAGCCTAAATAGCTGTGTAGCGTTCGTAGAGCTCATGTATATTTTACTAATGATAGAGCGTTTTGTGAGGCGGGTGGCTATATTCACGATGTTTATTCCCAAGGGGTCCAGTAACTGTTTAATACCGGGTGGGCCATGATCTGATCCATCAATCTGAGCAATTACCAAAAAAAATGTATGTAAATTCCTTTATTCCATTATAAATTTTGCAGGGATCGCTCAAGATGTGTGCGTGACATTGACTGCGAACGGATAGAGTTCTTTTCGTCTTTTTAATCCATTGATTGTTGACGTACGTACGCAGTGTGATCCTTGACACTAACCCTAACACAATCCAATGTACACAACAGGATTTCGGTTATGTATAACTTACTTAATTAACATCTGAGAACGTTTATAATTCGTTAAAAAGCTACCCGCCCGAATATACCTGTAAAAATATCACGAAAAAAAAAAATATGTCCAAAATAATTAGATTTTAAGCTATTTCAAAATATTCCACGTTAATGAACGGGTTCGTTTCGTCACATTGACCTGACCTAAATACGGAACTCATTGAAAACCGTCGTTTTAATAAAGAATCGACGCCCGGTGAGCTTTTCCATTACCGAACACGCTTGTGTACCTACCGTCGTGGAATGAATTTTTAATTATCGCTCGTTGTCATTTAAATAGGCAAACGAATTTAAATTTATATTATTTTTAATATTATAGAACATTTATAAGCCTATTTATTTTAGAAAAACAAAAACGAAGAGAAAATTAAATTTTTGCATTAACTTTTTTTTTTCTAGCTATGCTTATTATAGCCTTGAGAGGCTATTTCAGCGTAACCTTAACTAGTAGGTGAACTTACGGGGCTTAAGCCTGACGACGTTGCTAACACGAACTGTGGTAAGAGCCGTGCTTTGCAGAATCTACCACCGAATCGGAAACGCGACCCACTGAGAAAATCCGGCGAGAAACTCAGTGGGCTGTGTCTGTGGGTTAATCTACTCGTCGAACCCTTCGTTCGACGAGAACGAAGACCGGCTGCAGTAATATTTCTTCGTAGTTTTTATTGTAACTTATCTTCAAAATGTCAAATTCAAATGTCAAAAATCTAGTGTTCTATGATGGCTACCCGCCACAGTTGTTAGCGACACATAGAATTAGCCATTGCGGAACTGACCCCCACGACACACAGAAAGATGGGTAATACGTATTCAATCGTAAGCGCCTTCTTCTTACTCCACATTATGTCGTATGGGCGTAGCATGTGCTTTTACCACACCGCATAGGGACGCCTGTAAACATATTTAATACATCCTAATCGCATATCCTGGCAAATTGCGTAGACTCGTAGGGTCTTGCTCTCTCATCCCAAGCTCTACTTTGAACTCAACGTAATTTTGACCAAACACGAATTCATAGACTTTACTAAAATTAAAATAAATACTAATAATTTACCTCTTGTGAGTCCGCACGGGTAGGTACCACCGCCCTGCCTATTTCTGCCGTGAAGCAGTAATGCGTTTCGGTTTGAAGGGTGGGGTAGCCGTTGTAACTATATTGAGACCTTAGAACTTAGATCTCAAGATGGGTGGCGCATTTACGTTGTAGATGTCTATGGGCTCCAGTAACCACTTAACACCAGGTGGGCTGTGAGCTCGTCCACCCATCTAAGCTATAAAAAAAAATCTAAGAATTCTCGACTAATAATAATAATAATAATAATAATAATGTTTTTATTTCAAGTATCCATGACTCATATAAATTGTTAATAGTAGTTATATTTACATCACAATGAATTACTGTGGTAACATCCCATGGGAGATGGCACCACAGCGACCCATGTATATACAGTCCAGCCTGCTTGCGATCATGCTCAGGATACTGTTGGAGCTGGCCCTCACTCTGTTTACCAGAGATGCACACTAACTAACACTAATTAAGATGTTAACCACTCTAGATTCAAAATTGACAATCAAAACGAGCGTACACAGTTCGTCTTTTCGCATTAAAAGTGTACAATTTCCAAAAATATTCGAAATTGAGTTAATATGGCGGAATCATTTTGTATCACCAGTATTTTTTTCATAAATACTATCAAAAGAGCGTAGTTTAGTTTTAGTTTTTTTTTAACATAATTAATACATAATTTTATCTTAATTTAAAAGACAGATAATGTAACTGGTAAAAAATAAAAAAATAATGTTGCAAAGATGATTAATATTAAAAATATTTAAAACACTCTCCCGTAAAATTTGTAAGTTTTGAGATTATACAGTTTTAATGCGAGAAGACGAGACGATGTCCTAAACTAAGCCGTATATTGCATTGTCTGTAAACACGCGCGCTAAACGTCTCGTAGGGCTTCGGATAAGTACATTACGGTCGTCCTCGGTCCGGCCACGGGCGTCACTTTGATTACTGTTTCGCATTCATCCAACGCGTGCTTGACCTTTCAACGAATGGATATGTAGATTATTTAGGTTTATCGATTTTTTTTCTTTTTCTGTACCAACCAATGTGCGGCCAGTTTACTTGAAGTTTTTTACTGGTGGTAGGCCCTCTTTTGAGTCCGCACGGGTAGGTACCACTACCACGCCTATTTCTGCCGTGTCGCAGTAATGCGTTTTGGTTTAAAGGGTGGCGCAGCCGTTGTAACTATACTGAGACCTTAGAACTTATATCTCAAGGTGGGTGGCATTTGCTTTGTAGATGTCTATGGGCTTCAGTAGCCACTTAACACCAGGTGGGCTGTGAGTTCGTCCACCCATCTAAGCAATAAAAAAAATTAAAAAAAGTTACACGGATCGAATAGAATTTAAAATGTAAGTAAGTATAGCCGTCTGCCTAGATTCGGGAAAATTCAACTTCTAAAGCTGGTTGTCTTGATATATTGATTTAAAAAAATATACAAAATACTGTTTTATTAGTTCTTAACTAGTAGTTCATATTTATCTCATGCGTCGGGCGTCAGCAAAATTGGTTGGTACAGACGAAACTATTCCTTGTTAAATTTACGTTACAGGAAAATTCTTTCAACGCAAAAAGAAATTTACGAAAGCATAGCAAAAAAAAAATTATCAATCTATATTTGGAATGGGAAAATTGTATCGACAGCTACCATAAAGAGGAAATTGTGCAATTTCACAATCATGAAATAAATTTCAAAACCACTGCCACATCTACTATATTGGCAGACTAAAGGGGTTACGCTTAGGCGGACTTATATAAACAAAAACTACTAAAAATCAAATACACATTATTTAGTAAAGTTAGTAATAGACTATCCGTTACCGACGGCTTCATTCGTGTGGTCCAGGAAAAGTATCAGTGTAGTTCCGCATGGAAAAGGGATTTTTATTCGGAATAATTGGAAGCATTATGTCAGTCTCCTCCTCTAATACTATCACTTTAAAAAAATCATGTCAA